TAACGTACTTAATTCCCCCGATGCAGCGGCGTGTCTTCGGTGTTCAGTAATTGCTGTGAAGCCATTGCGCATCGTTGCCATTTTTCTCTGGCATTATTCTCCTTTCATTCTCTAGCTCTATCCTCGTAGCTAGCAGCATTGCCCAGAAACACAGCCGTGGCTGTGGTAAGCTTGGAAGTTCCTCTCTTTCGTGATGACGTCTACATCGCGGAGCCTACAACATACTTGGGACACAGCATGGGCGACTGCACCACCTCAAGCATGCGCTACACTACGCAATCTCAACGGCGCCGTCGCATGGGGCGAGACATGTGTCTTCCCCGAAGAAGATGAGGACCCGATACCCTTCAGCATAAACACCGCCTGCATGCCATGGGTGACATCGAATATCTACCCATCGCCATCCGCATTCTACTCGCCCGCTACCGCATGCCCCGCGTCTTGGACGGCCGTTGCTACACAAACAGATGCGAATGGAGAGGGCAGTGACAATAGGTGGATAGACGGAGAGATTGGGTTGCAGTGTTGCCCCAATGGGTTTCAGGCAGATGGAAGAGATGGATGTCGACCGGGAGGCAGTGGCAACTTCCCAGTTGTTGAATGTGGAGAAGCAGACGCGGAAGAGAACGAATCGAAGACATATGCTGGGGGGTCGTGGCCAGCGAGCGCGACGCCGAGTATCACTGCGTTGCACTTGAGGTATCAGCCCAGTGATGCTGGCAGCGTAAACCCGACTGCTTCGGGCACAGCGACTGGTGCATCCGCAAGTAACAGTGGTGGAAGCCAGGGAAGTGGTGGAGGAGGTGACAACAGTGGCAATGGGAATGGCATCTCAACAGGTGCCATAGCAGCGATAGCCACCGTCGTCCCACTAGTCATGATCCTCGGAGCATTAGCACTGTTCCTCCTCTGGAGACGGCGAAAGAAGAACAGGAAAGCAGCACTTGCATCAAAGCACATGGGCGACGAGAAAGACGACGACCCAACAAGACCCATCGACGACAACGCAAACCACTCCCCATCCGCCTACCACGCCATACCCAAAGGCACGACCGCAGCCCACTACGCCAACTCATCGCAAAACCCACATGAGACCCCCGAATGGAACGTCGAGATGGACGCTACAGAAGCTGAGCGTCAGAAACTGGCTAGTACGGCACCGGCATATGGAAGTTCCCCGTCTGGACTGAGTCCGATGAATGGAGTTGAGGCAACGGAGCTTGCGGGTTTGGCGAGGGTGCCGAGGAAACCTATTGCGCCGGTGGAAATTGATGGGAATGCTGTTATACCGGAGGTTGGCGATGCGTATATTCCGTATCGACCTGGGAGGGAGGGGAGCTAGGAGTTTGATACCCCGATATTCAATTTGTTAGTATTGCAAGTCGGTGTGTTTGTGATGTGCATGATGGTACTCCTCTTCCACTGTGCGCGGTCTCTTGCCTCAGCATTGGATTATGTTGCACAGCCTCGCAGGCTGAACTCAAGGCACATTCTCTCAAGATCACAACTTGTTTTCTTCTTTCAACACCGGTCTGTGTGGAGCTTGAGTATATCGATTCGAGGGATTTATGCACGTGTAGGTTGCGTTGGCCTCTCCATGTCCAATCGATTGCCAAGGCTGAACACAGCGAGGAGGCTGGCTTCGGCACGCGGGAGGCTCTCTGCCTGAGGTTGAGATGAGTGTTTCTCTGATTGGTCTTGTTTGACTTGCAAACGTCATTGGAACTAAAATCCTGTGTTTTGTAGGCTGAGTACCAGGTTACGTTTATGTTCTCCGCACCGGTGAGAGCCTCACTTGCACTGCTGACGAACTCTGTGGCCTTGAGGAATCTCTTGGTGTGTGTACTATCCAATCAGTTCCCCAGGACTCATAGCTGAGATGTTGCTGTGGTCATCGGGTGCTTCATGGCACCCTGATCTCTTCCTGCAGGAAACGCTAGGCCCAACAGCTCCCTCCAGCAGACTATGTGGCACCACTGTTAGATTTATAAAGGAATGGCTGCCACCGAAAGTCTAGAGACGACACAACCTTAGCGATGCTTTTGATGCCAGAAAATGTACGTACCATCGAGAAAAAATGCTATAAAGCTTCCCTGTGGTACCGATGTCCTATGATGATGCTATCCAATTCAACCTGTCTATGCTAAGTCTTTGTCACCTTTGGTACCTGCAGTGACTTGACTTACTCCTATATTCTTGCCTTAGTTACCTTACTGCTTGCTCAGTTCACCCTCCTGTTACTTGTACCTCCGATAAACTACCTGATGTCTAACACAGACAGCTCTACAGAGCTTGCCTTGCAGATATGCTTTGGTATATTTGGTGTTTTCAGTACGGTGGCTACCCTGGCTGGTCTTCACCACCATGATTCGCTTGGCTGCGTCCTACTTCGGCGGCTACGGGGCCGCCCCATCATTCGTACGTGTCATGTGTAATGAGCCTATGATTCATGTGTCTGACCACCCCATAAGATACCCATGACCTGGAGGCAGAGGCCGCCAATACCAGCCTTGAGGACCTTGATGATGTTGCCGACTATTCGATCCCACCTGTGAGGAGGCCTACACTACCGCCCTCCTACGAGCAGTCCGGTGAGAGCTCCCATCTCCAGACCTTTCTGGATGCCGACGTCGATGCTCGTCCATCCAATAGCAAGTCGAACAATCCATAACACTGAGTGGAAAGAAAAAGGGCTCATGCGTCTGAGTGGTCACCTGGTACGTCATCCAGGGAAGAAAGACTTGGGGATTTGTGACGGCCTGTTTCGCTATCATGCAAGTGCCGTATGTATTCGTCGATGGAGAAGCTATGAGGTTAGGCATATTCCAGTAGTCCATACGCCAAGCAAATCGACATCACATTAACATGCCTATTGCTTCTCTTCACAGTAGGCCTTGTCTCATCAGCAGGTCAGAACAGTATTCTCAAAAGCGTTGGAGTAAAACTTGTTGAAAAGTGGAGCGAATGCGCAAATACACTGTAAAGTGCTCATTGTTGCTACGAACGAAGGACGCAAAACAAAACAACAGCATAACCGTAATGACAGTACCAGATGAGATACAAGGCTAGGAAACAAACTGTAAAAAGAAAAGCCTGCTCAGTCCCTGGTTTTATCCAGGAGGTGAGGATCAGCGTAGGTACGGTTTGATAGACAGTATGTGAGCGGACTGATTTCGTCTAGGACCATCATGTCTGTTGTCTGATACAGGAATCTATGCGGCGACAAGATAAGATGGGAAATGAGAGATAGTCTTGGTGTCGAAGCGATATACGCTTGGGATTAGTGACATCTCAGAAGTGTCTTCTCGGCTTCACGAGACCGAACTTTTCAGCATCCCCTCGCCCCAGTACCACATCGTATGCTGGATTTTCCGTCGTCGTCACCCAAAACCGGGTCTCTTGTATATGTTTGGTATTGCTTCCGAAGCACCAAGTCAAGTCGACGTATCCTTCCACCCCTTCGCCTCGATGGTTGGCGAGGACGCACTCCGTTTTTTCGCTTGTATGCACTGGAACATCCAGTACTTGCAGCATAGGACGTGATATAATGTTTTCCGTAGTATTTGGATCGCATGAGAGGACAGCTACCTCCCATGTTTCCAAACTACCCTTCGTCCGAGAGCAGATCTCGATTTGGGCCGGCTGAGGGATTCGTTGTCTTCGCTGGATCTCGTTAATAATGGCCGATGAGGGTGGAGGACGACGCACACCAAAGGACAACAACCTACTGAGTCCACAACAAGACATTTTTCGTAGTAAGTTGAGTAGCGGGTAGTGTTTCGTGTTTCGCGTTTCGTGCGACGATGCAATGGTGGTGTTGATGCGAGTTGAATCTAAGTGTGCTTTACGAGTGTGATAATGAGTCCTCCAGGAACTTCAAGAGGAGGACCTTCCGCCTATAAAGCGACCAATAGCCCCAGGCACACTTCTTTGCGCAGGTGGGACCTCTGTATGACCCTGAAGGACTGCGCATGAGACCGCTCGAGCGACATGAAAGCTCTGAGGCGTTGTTGGGCGGGCCAAATCCAATGAGCATCTTCAGTACTTTCGCCAGTGGCGCAGCATACATTCTCTTGACATCTAATTGAGTCACCGAAGCGGGTTGATTTCGAATGTCTTTGCGTCACAGCCTGGAAGAAGGCAGTCATTGCCTGTTCCTGGTATGGTCAGTGGGGCGCAGCCGCACATGCCCGTTACCGATGAGCGTTCAAGTGTAGCCTCGTCAGCCAAATTCTGATGTTCGAAACGGTCATATTTTCCATCTCCGTTGCTCTCATTCGGTATGCGAAGCGACAGATGGAGTGGAGGCGACGAAGTTTCCAAGTGTGTTGTTCGTGTAGTGTGGAGTTGATTGCAGGCGAACTGCGATGGACGCGTGGCGTGACTGGCGCGACTGGCAGGTGCCCGCCCGGGAGGCAACCACCAGTGCTAGCGCCAGCATGCAACCTTATCCGCAGCAGGCTGCGAAACCTTGGAATCTCACATACATCAACGTAGCCATGATGCGTCCTCCCGGCTGCCTACTCAGTCGGCCTTCCATTTGATTTGTCATTCTGGGATATCCAATGTACTTTCGCTTGTGCTTCCACCTTCACAGATAACGTCTGTTCAGTCGCAGAAAGATAGATAATATCGACTCATTCGAGCGACGATTATCATCAACTTCGCAGCGATCCTTAAGAATCGAGGTTTCATGTTCAGAGGTGGCTTATTATTGGTGGTAGGGGTGGGTATAACTTAGCGATGAACGATGTGTATGCCTGACGAATATGCCTGCATCTCAGGCTGAGGGCTGCTTGACATTGCAGATGTATGCAGCTTCACCCAGAGGTCCTTCTGCCCTCTTCATGCGCATGGCTTTTCGCCTGCTGATGGTGTGTTGAGTGACGTGGAGGCTCTTACGCACATTCGATTGCTAAGTTCAAGATATATGGGCGCAATGAGCGACACCTATATGGGGAGCCCACGCATGAAGGCTATCTAGCCACGAAAGAATAACAATGTCATCGCAAGATCCTCTTGATCGTTTCGTTAAAGGATACCCGAAACTGGCTGCGCAGATGGAGATCCTACCTGAGCTCGCTATATTCCGCAGGTTTGGGGCTCTCAATGCTCAGAACCTGTTGTACATGCAGGCTGAGCTCACGTATCTGGAGAACAAGCTACGAGAGCGGCAGCTAGCCGACCACATTGATCCGTCGGAAACGAGGAAAGCACATGCACTGAATTGGTTCTGGCTCCGTGAATCCGAGAAAACTGGCACAGGTGAACAACTGGGATTAATCTTGAAGATTAGAGAAACGCTCAAAGAGTACAGTGTGTTTGAAGATTTTCCAGCGGACGCATGAAGCTGACTACGACAGATGATGCGTTAGCACAACAAGCCAAGATTCTCAAGTACCCTCGGCCTAGCACTTGGGATCTCCACCACATCCAGAACTATCTCCACTCTACGGAAATGGGCGAGAATGCGTTGACTGGAGAGGACGGTGATATTTGGGGCTCTGCCTGCCATCGAGAATCTTACAAGCCGGACCTGGTGACGCTATGTCCGCGCGCAAAGAAGGACGCCTTTTCCGCATGGGCTGCGGAGAGTACTATCACCAACCTCTTCAGGTGTGGCTGTGCTCGCATCAAGAAACCTTCGCGCATTCATGGAGTGGTCGGCTACGAAGATAGCACCATCTATCGCATCACCTATTGGATCACCAGTATTCTCGCATCTCTCATACCGATAGCGTCCATTGCCGTGCTATATCGCGTTCAGTCCATGACTGCTCGACTTGGGATCATTGCTGGGTTCAATGTTCTGGTTTCTATTTGCTTGATGGGTTTGGCCAATGCGAAACGCGCCGAAGTTTTTGCTATCACAGCTGCGTGGGTATGTCCATATCTTCCTTATTGCTCACCTACTAACGAAACCCAAGGTTTGCTGCTGTACAGGTCGTCTTTGTTGGGTCTGATAGGAGCACTGCAGGAGGAGGTTTAATATGAATTCAATCGCAAAAGAAACTACCCTTTCTAAATGGAGACATTAACATAATCGAAGAAAGCAGTATTGGTGACCGATTACCCCGTAACTCTTTCGCTTAGCCTCGGCAGAATCCGTGTCGGTCGTATACGCTGCAGGAAAACTGTTGCCAGGTGGCATGCGTTGTAATCACCTGCATGCGTGCGCCACCAACTTCGGTACAGTACTCATCCGGCCACTCAGCCATTGGAGCAATTCAGTTAAAGCTCACTCCGCTCCGCGTCAGCTCAGCCCAACTTGAAATCCAAACAAGATTCAACATAAGAAGCCGTCGCCTTTATCTCGTCGCAGTCTGGCCCCCGTCCATCGTTGGCGTGTCATCCCTACGTCAACTGGGATCGGCGACCGAAACAATCTTTGAGCGTACGGGAGAATCCAGTTCGGGATGTATACGTGTGTGTGTAGTATGTCTAGGGTGGGTGTTCAGCGTCTCTGAGCCGCAGCTGCTTGTGCCTGTCCAAATCAGCATTGCAACCATGAACGAGAGCTTTGACGGCTCACCTGCTGCTGTTCATATTGCCTCATCTTCTCTTTCTCTTTCTTGCGTCTCTCTTCAGCCTCTCTTTGTTTTTGAGCGAGTGTGGCAGCTGTCTCGAGTCAGTAACGATTCACAATTTGCGGTCACGAACGTACAATCGACTCGAGGCTGTAAAGTCCGATAGGCACCGAAGAAGTCGCGGTTTCCTTGTAAGAGCCCCAGCTTTACGATCGTCTCACTCCCGATTACGAGTTCGAACGTCTCGAGATCTACCACCTGGAAGACCGACTTTTCGAATCGTGGTCGGAAGCTAGGGACCTTTCGAGTGTCGCTGCAGTACCATCTTGCTTCAACCTGACCGAGGCATGGCACCTCAGTATTATTGCTGAGGGTTATCGTGATTGGTTCAGAGCTGGGGCTCGGTGCCAGCCCAAATTCCGCGAGAAACTGGGGAGTGATCAAGTTGTACCTGCTCTGCGTATCCACTAGGACGATACCAGGATTGGGTTTCGACCATTTTCCGCGATCCTCGTCCCACAAGGAGACATCAACGATCCTTTTGAAGTTCTCGTTCTGCCTTGCGGGTGTGAATCTTCGGCGGAGCTTGCGTGATAGGGTAGGAGCATCGCTTGTCGATGTGCTGGACCGTTGTTGAGACGAAAGGAGCTGCTTGAACCTTGGACACGCTGCGGAGAAGGCACGCCTGTACCATTTGTTCTTGATCTTGAGTGATTCGTAATCTTCGTCCACTTCACTGAAGATCCGGGTAGGACGCGCCGGGTTGGTTGGTGTGTTACGGTCACCTTCAATAATATGTTAGCTCTGAACAAACGATCCACATTGCGAGACTCTATGGCTCACCGCGAGAAGAGAACAGTCTCTTGGCTTTACTGAGTTGGATCATTTTGGTAGTGGAGGTTTGATGGTCTGTAGTGATCACAATTCAAGAAGAAGGAAGCGGAAGGCGATCTCGAACATTACGCAATGCTGCAGAGGTCAAGGGCTAGTATAGCAGTTTGGAGTTAGAAGGCTGTGCTAAATGGACTTAGACTTCAGAGCCTCATCAGGCTGCCTGCTTGCTGTGCCACGGTGGCGACGGCTGAGCGACCGGACAGCGCTCACAGCGCACACTTGGGGGCTCGACTCGATACCAGATCTAGACCTTGGAGGGTGGCGCAGCCACTGTGCAAGGGGTATCATATCTGCATATATCGTTGTTCTGATGTGAAAAACAGTTTCTGAAAGCCCAGGGATCACGAAGATGTCTTCCACGAGTAAAGCGTTCATATCATCTGGATACCCGTTATTTACTGTAAATCGCGATTGGTTCAACATTCATACCAAATGCAAGATTTATGACGTGCCAGTATTGTTCATGCAACGAACAACGACTGAGCCACTCGACATATGACGTTTGGAGACTCGGCTCAAGCGACATATAACGCCTGATCTGAAACAAAAGTGTTTGCCTTGAAGAACCTGCGTTCTGTGCAAGCGATCAGACGCTCAATCCACCGTCCGGCTGCACGGTGATCCAATACTCGACGCATATAGGGCAAGCCAAACTCACCGGAAACGGTAAATGCGTAATACAGACACTCTCTCCACATCTACAAACCACAGCAGCTCAGCGTAGGGTTCGCAAACATGCAGCCTGATTCTTGTACCGGTCAGCCGCTTCACACGGTCAGATTCGTGGAAGGCTGTGGCGCAGCACCTGCATGGGACTGAAGTGCACCTCCGGTGGCTCCGAGACAACGTCACCAGTAGGATATGAAGCTGCTGTCGTCTGGGCCCAGACGTCTTTGCGTGCCATTTTCTGAAAAACTGCCTCGACGGGCGCCTTGTCTAATGATGCCATTACACGTCAAGTGTGCTCCTGGTGTTGCTCTTTACTCGTCTCCGTGGAATCGAATAAGCTGAGCAGCCTGTGCCAGGCCCCGAAAACGTTATTGGTATGTATCGTGTCTTTGATGTGTCAATCAACATGCAGGCTCGTGAAGCATCGTCTTCCTGGCGAGCGTCGGGCTGTGCTCCCATTCAAGCGGGTCGTCCACCGGTCACCAGCGACGATTAGCAGGCAGTGTCCCGCGCATGAACCTGTCAAAGCGTCTGTTAGTCCGCTATGGCGTGTATGTCGATGGTGTCGCCTTCGTCGGTGACCTAACCGTTTTCGCATTAGCAAACAGTCGCGAGGTCTGCAGAGTAACTAGCATATGCCAAAACCTAGAAATGTATTCGATGAAGTATCACACACTTTTTCCCAAGCTGTTGAAACCTTGAACTCCGCGATAGTGACACGAGAGGCTCAAGCCTCCTAACCATCCACCTTCGCTGCAGTATCAGCGACCTCACCAGCCGTCTCAGCCATCTCCTGATCCTCCTTCTTCTCAGCCTTCTCCGCATCGCCCTTACTCGGCACGCCATCCTTATTATCCACAAGCTCCCTCACGACATCGACCGTAGCCGCCGGACCACCAGGCTGCACCGCAAGCACCTTGCCCTCCTTGTCAACAACAAAGACACCGCGCGTCGTGCTCTTCGGCGGCTTCTTAAAGCCAATTGCAGAGATGAGGCTCTGTGAAGGGTCGCAAAGCAGGGTGTAGGGCAGCTTCTGCTTGGTCTTGAAGGTTGTGTTGGCTTTGGGGCTGTCGGCTGAGAGACCGTAGATGGAGTAGCCGGTTGCGGTGAGGGGGTCGTAGGAGTCGCGGAAGAGGCAGGCTTGTTTTGTGCCTGTGGTTGTACGCGTTAGTACTGCTCTGCGAACGCGAGGGAGATGTCAGGGGTTGGAGGCTTACATCCTGGCGTTGAAGCCTTGGGGTAGGTGAACAGCACAACGCCGCTCTTGCTCTCCTCTACGAGCTTTGCAAGCGTGGTCTTGTCTCCGTCATTCGTCTCAAATTCTCCGCCAAAGGACGCGAGGTCAATGGTGTCGCCGACCTTGGGTGGGCCAGTCGCAGCGGCAGCAGACTCGCCGTTGCTCTTACCGACAACAGCTTCCTTGACAGCCTCGACCTGCTCAGTGACAGTTTCCTGGACTTTCTCGACGACAGTCTTCTCGCTCTCGGGCTTCTTCTCCTTGGCGGGCGCCTTCTTCTTCGTCGGGCGCACAGGCGCTGGGGGCGCTTCCTTGCGCTTACGGAGCTCGACGGGCATGATGAGAATGGAGTCGCGAGATGATATCGCAGTCGCGTTAGTGTCGCGGGGACGTATAAACTTCAATCAAGGGGAAATTGGGCAGCGAAGAGGTCGGGGTCGGACGCTTGAGCGCTCGCGGAAATCGAGGTGGGACGGTTGGCTAAGGGCAGGAGTACGAAAACCAGCGGAACAGTGGTACAACCCTCGCAATATGAACAATCGTACCAGTTCGCGGGAAGATATCCTCGGCCTGATTCAGTAAGAACTATAATATGTGCGTCGTCTAGTCAACGGTCGCAGCGTAAGCATCGTGGTGAGCCCGAGCGAGGCCAGGTCGTCCAGCCTCCTCACTTGGCATTTCCCGTCCACATCGATATTAGCCAGATTACCTGAGCCTGCGTCTTTTTCTTCGGGAAACAGCTTATTTCGGACGCGCACTGGGGTAGGGGAGGCTTGTCATTGGCTCGTGAAGTGAGGAGTCGTGAGATGGGCAGCGCTCGGTTGTGCAGGTCCCGGCGCGTCATAGCTTCCCTTCTGCGATGCTACTATGCTGCAGCAACACTGTCTCGCACAACGCCTACGACTTGATATCGAATGCGTTGAATTTCCTTGTCTTTACATCAGAATTGCCCGTCTAATTAAGCTACATCTTGATCCTTCATCCCATGCTGCCCATTAGCGAGCCTAAACAAGCACGAGAACACCCTTCCAAGTCATGCGCTACATCTATGCATCTTTGGTACCTCCTGAAACCCAGCTCACGGGGTGCCAGTTGTTCTCGCAAGAGAATACCTTGCCGCCAGACCCGCGGTTCAACGCCCATCCAGACGACCACATCCCAAGCCCAAACTGTAGCACGGAGTCAGCACTCGTCTTGTAATGTCTTGGGGAGTAGACTTACAATGAGCATTCCTAGAATGACAATAGAGATATTCAGAATGGTAAAAGCCGTTTGCGAAGTCGACGAGAACAGCCTACCGTTCTTCTTATTGTGCCACAGCCACATCAGTGGAGGAAGCGCATCTACACGCGTCAGCCAATGCACCTATCATTATCCATAGTGAGTAGTATTAGTAGTGACTTACAGCTAAACCAGCTTCCAAAGAGAGCTCCTATCAATCCCAACAACAAATTAAAGTTCGGCACAGCTTCAGCCAAGATCCAGCTTACCAGCCACGCGCCTGTACATATCGCGCCCCAACTTCCCAAGCTCTTCCAGCTGTTGGTAGATGCTACGTTTGTCCCCTTCCATACGCGAAAGTAGATGTATTTGGTGGCTACAGAGCCATTGACTACACCTGCGACGATGATTGTAGGCAGCGCGATACCAAAACAGATCTTGCTGACGAGTGGGGACGCGGAACCAAGAGCGGGTGAGGCTACAAGAGGCCCGGCGTAGTAGTATATTATGACAGATATGAGCATATAAAACGTGACTGCGATACCCTGCTCGAAGATGAGGGCTTTGCGGAAGTCGCGAGGGTCTTCGAGTTCGGATTGGAACGAGAAGAAGGCGACGTGTCCAGCTGTATGAAATCAGCAGACGTCTTTATGACCAGAGAACAGGAAACAACATACTGTAAGCTAGGACGATGTTCATCACGGGTGCGAGTCCCTTGACGAGTGGTACATCTGGTCGCACAGCAACGATGTTGCCCATGTCTGGCTTCTGGATACTAATCGCGATCATGGTTACCGTAACTGCCACAATGATGGAACCGCAAGCTGAAATATGTCAGTCGCGAACTCACACGAAGCGGTCGGATCCTTTGGCTTACAAAAGTAGCTAAAGTAGCTGATGTTCTTGAACGTTCTGGGCAACCCTAGCAGGAAGGAAATGATCAGTCCGACGACAGTGAAGACGATAGTGCAAGTGCCGTGGTCAGTCATCGCATTCATCGCGACCGCAAAGGTCAAGATGTGCGCCCCCATGATGAAGATCAAGACTAGTAGTTGTCCGACAGCAAGCACCTCGCGAAGCACTGGCCCGCTCATAAGCATGCCGCAATCCGCGTAGTTCGCTACAGACGGATGAGCCAGCTTGAACTCGCCGATCAAATATCCAGTGTATGTAGCGATGATGCCTAGGAAGCATATGCAGAGGAGACCGGGGACGAGGCCGAGGATCGCAAGCGCTTGAGGAAGGGCGAGGACGCCTAATGATACATTCTCCGCCAGCATAACTTGAATATGTTATTGGGATGATGGTGTGGAGGTACGGGGGCCTTACGAGTGCCGACATTCCTGGCAGTTGAAAGTCAGCGATAGTTCAAAGAAGGATATCACGCCCAGCGAACGATGCATGCCATACGCCGAGGAGCGCCGAAGTATCGTTAAATCTCGTTCAGTAACACTGCACACTGCATCAGATAGTTTGTGTACTTACCACCACTTGCACGTCTTGTACTGTATCTCAGCGCCTTCCTCGTTACCAAAAACATCCTGTTCTTCAGCTGGCGCAGCCTGTCCTTCGAGGTCCGCCGACAGATTCAATTGAGGCTGAATCAGTTGCTCATCTAAGGGCGCTTCCGGTGTGGTCTTCTCTACTGCGTGCCTAGCCATGGCTTTGTGTCGCTTGAGCTGTCTATGCAGTCGTCGCGCGGATATTGTCGTGAAGAGGGCCGGTGGAATACGAGGAACGGGGAATAAGGTTAGGATGAGAAAAGGATGACAGGAGCCGGTCAATCGTAGCAGCTGGCGTTTTCACGACACGGTACCAGTCTGGAATGCTGCAAGCGTGAGCGCAGTTATGAGCTCGTTAATGGCCATGTAATGACGGGCGCGGTTCGCTCAATTTGAAGACCGTGAAATGATGTGGGCCAAACGAGCGTCTGCCATTGCAAAGCATGGACGAAATTGTGGGTGAGATGTTTGGGTGTACCACGGAAGCTTGTAGGATAGGGACATGCAGGGAGAGTAACGGATAGCGGAACATTTCGAATGAATGGATTCGAACGCGTGTCTCGAGATAAGACATAGTACCAGGTCAGTGCCATATCATAATGTAATGATTACACCTGTATTGCAGCGGAATGCGGAGGCACTGATTGCAGGCTTGAGCTATGGTAGCGAGCCCGTGATACCCAAGTTTCGGGCACGCGTCGCTATCAATTTGTACACTGTATGCGGATATAGACAGTCTCAAAACGTAAGACATGGAAAGAGAAGACTGGGATGAAAGAGCAACGACAGCAACTGTGCGGTTTCCAGTTCGAGACTTGATGTCAGAAGTGCTGCGTGTCGCGTAGTGTATAGGTAGAGATCTGAGTCGTTATTGATGCGATAAGAACACTGCAAGATATATTGGCCTAATGGCAGTAGTTGAGGTGGGGAAGAAGAGTGTCCAATGGATGGAATAGATGTTAGCTACGTCATCACGTGGACGCGTGAGGCAAGCGCGAGCCGGGCTGCCGCCACTCCACACTCCTCATCTTCCCCCGCACGCAAGCCAATCGCACCAGACTTCCAAACCGATATCCTGTCGTTCGCCTTGCGACGCCAATTACATCACAAACACGCCATGAACTCCGACCTGAGCCATGCGCCGACGCGAGCGACCCGCAAGCGAAAGACTACCACGTACGCCGACGACGATAACGATGACGATGCGCACCTCGAATACCAGTCCACACCACGGAAAGCCAAAAAGACGAAGAGCGCACCCGAGGTAATCGACTTGACGGGAGATTCGCCCAAGAAGACCCAGAAGACTCCTGCTAAGAAGAGAGGCAAGCGCGACGCCGATGCGCCTGCCGAAGAGAAGCGTGCGAGGGTGTTCCGCAAGCAGGCACCACAAAGCTACCTCGCGATCAAGGAAAGAGCGTTCACGCAGCGCCTTACAGTCCTTTCGCGCGAACGTTGCGGAAGCGATGATGTACCAGAGGAGAAGGTCATTGTCGCAGGCTCCACAGGCAATGTCTACACCGTCTCAGTTGGTCTCGTCCCGAGCTGTGACTGTCCACACGCGAAGAAGGGCAATCAATGCAAGCACATCATATACGTCATGTTGCGCGTGCTGAAGGCACGTGAAGACGTCGCATACCAACTAGCCCTCGTCCGCTCCGAGCTACGCGAAGTCATCAAGAACGCGCCTCCCATTCCCGGCGTAGAGACAGATGGAAAGGACGGCAGTGAACAAGAGGGCCAAGACGGCAACCGCAAGCCCATCGAGGGCGAATGCCCCATCTGCTACGACGAACTCGGCGAGAACGAACCCATCGTATACTGCAAAGCCAGCTGTGGAAACAACGTGCACAAGGCTTGTATGGCGAATTGGATCGCGGTCTCAAAGGGCAAAGCGACTTGTCCATACTGTCGTGCCAAGTGGGAGGCAGACACAGGCTTCGAGGGTAAGCTGGGTGAAGTCGATACAGAGAACTTGGAAAGGAATGAGGACGGCTATGTCAATGTTGCAGGGCAACTCGGTCTCAGTGGTGAGCGTGATTATTCCACGTATCATCAGTACTGGGTGCGACGGCATTTAGGCCATGGTGGACGGAGGAGGGGTGGCTACGATTACGAGGACGACTACTAGGCCCATGGTTGTTGAGGCATGACTGTGTAGGAGGTGTATATTTGGCGTTCAGGACATTGATACCCAGGAGCGACAGGCGCACGGAACCGTAGAAGATTTTTTCCATCCGTTGTATCTCTACAACAATTAATCGTTCTCTACAACAATAGCTCGTTTGACTCAAACATTGACTCGCTTTCCTTCGTTTACTCAACATCATGCGTGTTCGTTTTCCGCATCTCCAAATCCACCCACCTCGGCGCGCATCGGAAATTAAACCCTCAAGAATAGCACAAAATCACGATCGCCACGTCCACGCGCGTAACTCCCCCAAACATACCCACCTACCACCGGCCCATCTTGCATAACCAAGCAAAATCGATCACCATGATCTGAACATCGTCACCTGCATCCGCTTTCGCCTCGTTTCCAGACCCACAACCCTTTTCCTCCTTCTGCCGTAAACACGATCAGCATGAACGGACGTCCTCGGCGAATTTATGTCATTTCCATTTATGTTTAGTAGCAAGTGTGTGCTACCATCCCGTCCGATGCCCAATACGAGCGTATAATGACGCGTACCAATCTTGCGAGGAAACGATCCCAGATGCGGTCTATTGATATCAGATGTAGTATAGATCCACATCAACCAGTAGTCGCTCGAGCCACGAGTGATCAACAACAGCAGCGCACGTTCCTTCCACCAACAGCATGTTGCATAGTATTGCGAAAAGGCTTTCGGCGTCTGAGAGCAAGTTGCGTACAGTCATGTACCCTGCGGCACGGTAAGTAAGTTGGAGCGGCTCGAAAAGGGAGAACCGGGGCTGAATGCGAATGGCTGGATGGAGACGTGCTGCACCAGACCCGCGAAAGTGGGCACTGCGGCTGCGAGTGGCTGTGTTTGCTTTATTAGACGTTACACTTGTGGCCGATCATGCGAGAACGTGCAAGCGGTGGCGCGATCATGTACAGGGATGGGGTTGGGGCGGTATGCAGGTACAGTGATCAGCTCTGCAGATTAGGTTTTGTGTCACTGGGGATCTGGCCCCGACTTGCGACAGAGTTCGAGGAGAGCGGCAAGGGAAACGCTGGCGCTCTAACTTATGGAAGAAACATCACAATTGAGATTGGAGGCAAGATTCAGTTGCAAAGAGTAAATTCAAGAAAACTAGATAACGCCAGGTCATTTGACAACCGCAACAAAGGAAAAGTCTAGGAACAAATCGAGGTTCATCAAACATTGCAGTCTGACTGCGCCCACATACCAGAGTCCGACGAGCATGGGGAATCCGAAGAGTGATGTGGAAAAAGACAGTCAATATATTGTCGAATGTACATGATATCAACTGTCTAGTCCCGGCTTTTACGTGAACAATCCATCACAAAGGAAACCACCCAACGCTTTGCCCCTGCCCGAGGGAACTTGATACAGTAGACAGACAAGACATGCGAGAATGCGGATCAAGCGATCCTACCAACAAAGGACACTAAGAAAACGCGAAGCTCATATACAAGAAATGCACTTTAGCGCTTAGTAGGTGCCGTAGCCGGAGCCGTAACCGCTGCCAGAGCCGTAGCTGTTGTCGGGGGTAGGGGTGGGGGCAGCGGAGGAAGAGGCAACGGTGGAAGCCTCAGGAGTCTGGGTGGAGACGGCAGCAGAGCTGGAGGCACCGCCGTAGCCGCCACCGACGGGGTAGGCAGCGGAGCTGGTCTCAGCAGAGGCGGGGACGCTGGAGGAGGGGATAGCACTCTCGCCGGTGGGGGTGGCTACCTCAGAGACGAAAGAGAAGCTGGGGAGGACCGAGGTGGGAACGGCACCGGTGCCAGTGGGCATGGCGGGCTTGGTGGAGGTCTTGAAGCCAGTGGGGCCGGCAGGGTAGGGGTTGGTGCCGTTACCGGGGACGGGGTACATGGCAGTGGGGACGGCGGGCATGCTGGAGGAGGCAGTCTGCTCAGAGGGAACCTCGGGAGTTGGCTCAGGAGCGTTGGGGGTAGCAGCAGGGTAGTCACCACCCTTGGTAACGGTGACGGTCTCCTTGGCAGTTACGGTGACAGTGACGGGAGCAGCGCAGTCCTCACCACCCTCGCTTCCAGCAGGAGTGGAGGGCTTGGCCTCACCACCAGCAGGGCCAGTGGGGTAGGCACCGTTACCACCAGCGGGGCCGGAGGGGTTGGACTCAGAGTCAGCGGGGACATCGCCCTCACCAGTGGGAGTGGGCTTGACGGTGATGTACTTGGTGGAGGTGGAGGTAGACTTGATGGTGGAAGTGACATCCTCCTCACCGGCGGGGCCAGTGGGGTAGGAGCCCTCGCCGCCAGCAGGGCCGGTAGCCTCAGAGGGAACCTCACCAGTAGGAGTGGGCTTGCCGACAGTGACGACGACAGTGGAGTACTGGGTGGAGGTAGAGGTGGAGGTGACCTCAGTGGTGACTGGGTGAGCAGTCGAGCCAACACCGACGGTGTAGACGAGGGTCTCGGTGTAGGTCTGGACGACCTCAGAGACGGGGTAGGAGCTGGTCATGGCCGAGCTGCCGGTGGGCTTGGGGAGGTCAGACTCAGGGCAGACGGTGGTGCCGACGGCAACGACGCTGGTGACGAGCGCGGTGGAGTGGGCCGGGCAGTCAGTGACGGTAGGGGGGCAAGCAGTCTTGGTGAAGATCTGGGTGCTGTAGATGGTGGAGGTCACCATGTCGCTGATGGGGGTGGAGGAGACACCGCTGGGAACCATGCCAGTGCCGGTAGGGACCATACCAGTGCCAGTGGGGTAGAGACCAGTTCCGGACATGGTGCTGGTGGCAGCCTCAGGAACGACCGAGGAGGGGACACCTCCGTAGCCGCCGCCGACTGGGTAAGAGCCGGAGGGGATGGCAGAGCTCATGCTGACGCCGGGAACGACGGAGCTGGTGGTGGCAGCCTCGGGGACCTCAGAGGAAGCAGAGGAGGGCTTGCCACCGTATCCACCACCGACGGGGTAGGAGCCGGAGGGGATAGCGGAGCTCATGCTGACACCGGGGACAGAGCTGGAGCTAGCGCCAGCAGGGACCGATGA